TTTTTTTTTCTCATTATTACGAGATACTAAGTCATTATTTCGAGAAAGTTTCTCATTATTACGAGAAACTAAGTCATTATTATGAGAAATAAGTCATTATTTCGAGAAACTAAGTCATTATTACGAGAAAGTTTCTCATTATAACGAGATACTAAGTCATAATTTTGAGAAAGTTTCTCATTATTATGATTTACAGAATTATATATTTTTATTTAGTGGCGGAAACGGGCTTCTAAACTGATCAAAAGTGACATCTATAATGTTACAAAAATCTATTGGTTCAATTAAAAAAAAATGGTTCTTTTAAACTTTCTATTCATCAAAGAACTTTAAAAAATGTCCACAAAAATATTAAGCAGCTCAACCATTTTCCACGTTGATAATAATACGCAATGTTTTTTGAGTACCAAATCAGCACATTTGAAAGATTGCTAAATGATCATGTGTCAAAAAATTCAGCTTTGCCATGACAGGAATAAATTACATTTTTATTTTATTTTTAATAGTAATAATATGTCACAATATTACCTTTTTGTAAATTAATAAATGCAGTGAACATAAAATACTTATTACAAAAGCATAAAAAAAATCGTACTTTTAAACAGTAGCGTATATAACTTATGTCAATAATATTCAGTGGAGTAAAGAAAGAGGGTTAGTTAGAGTGGTCAGGTTTTTTTGACAGTTAAATGAATGTATCATTAAAATGCATAATGTTGGATTACGCAGCTTTTTTTTCTCAGGTCTGTTGGGATTCTTGGGAAGCCCTCAAAGTTTGGCCTCTGGTCTTATCTCACCTCACCTGAGGAGGACACTGTTTCCCGTATCTATATCTTTTAATCAGCGGTACACACCACCACCTCCCCATCTATGTGGGGTGCTTGACAAATGCCCCATCCAGCCTATAACGGCAGATTTCATGTGTCAGACCGGTTTGTCAGAGTCCCTAAACATAAAAAACTTTAGCTGTCAGCTTTTTGTCAAAGTATAGACAATATAACATCAAAGGTATGCCTGTTAACATTGTATGCATAAAATCACAGGTGATGGATTTGTCTTTTTGGAAATAGTAAACCTGAGTATCTTGTTTCACTCTGCCTCTGTTTCACCCCACCTTGCTCTCCCTCGATTTGCTGCTAGACCAGTCTTGCCCGGGGTGTGGTGCACTCATTAGTGTT